TGGTATTTAAAAAGGAGATAAAAAAGTTTAAAAAATTATAAAAGGATATGAAAATGGAGATATTTTAATATAGATTTATGTATGAAGATTAAAATGGTTAGACATTTCTAGAATGGAAGAGATAATGAAAATGTTTGAGCAAGTGATAAGAGATCTGAGTAAGTTTACTAAAAATAACTTACTAAATAAAAAAATGCCAAGTTGAGAAATGTTTAAAATATTTGGAATGTGGGAAGGTGCATGCCTAGTACACCAAATTAAGAGACATTAATAATAAAGAGATAAAAATAAATAAAAACAAAACCATTTTGTTTGGTAGATAGGGAGGACAAAATTCTTTGAGAGTCAAAAATCATGACACATACTTTTAGTCCTTGCAGGTGGATCACTGCCCAGGATGGTCTTCATAACCAATTTACAGCTGTATAGTTCCTTGTTACAGAAAAACATCTAAAAATTGCTAATTGCCAGTTTTCCCCTTTAGCTAATAACCTTGGACAAGGCTTCCAGTTGCTGTGACCTTTTGTATAACTAAGACAAAGATAACTTGAATGTTCCTCTCTATACGGATAGCCTTCAAAAAGAAGGAGACTGAGAAATAAATTGGATTACTAAATTCAAGCACTGAGCCCTTGGTATCCAGGTACTGCAGAAATGCAGAGCTGTTACTATAATAGATGTTTTTGCAGACAAAACTTTCAGCCTGTTCCTCTGGCTTATGCCACACACCCCATTAAAGCCTCAGTGCAAATGGGTGTAGACAAGTATTTTTATTATCTGTAGCTACTGGCAAATATCCTTTATGTTTCTCTATATTATGCAAGCATTACTTCAGGGATTTTTTCCTTCTGTTCAACAACAGAAAGTACAAAACATAAAAAGAAGATATTTGGGCTCAAGAGAAGCTAGGTTTTGCATCCTTTTACCAGATGGGTACAGTCCAGAAGACAAAAGTTTCAGTGAGTCTGGTCTGGACCACAATCAACTTATTTCCTGTCTATAGGTATGTGATGTAATTCCCCCTCCCTTCCTTCTAAAAGACTATAAATTAGGGTGTAGATGGCTGGCGAAGAAAGAGACTGCTTTACTTTTCTTTGCAGTAAAACAGCCTTCACTTGAGAGAATGAAGAAAATTGTTTTGAATCCCTTTCCTGGGCTATGCCTACTTGACCTGTGATGTTAGACCTCTTCTTTCTCTGACTTAGATCATAAAAGTTAGTTCCTCATAGAATTTACAATGTTAAAGATTCCATTCTTGATACATTACCTGGGCATCTCTTTATGTACCTGAATCCACTAAAGTAATCTTGAATTTTCTAATGTCAAATTTCAGTCAAATCTCTACTTATATTAGTTCTTGTCAATAGTTATAAAGACTGGCTGAAAAACAAATTGTATGTTCAGTCAAGGTTTATTCAAAAACATTTGGGTTTTTTTGTTCAAGCTTTATTTACAAGTTACACAGAAATTAAAAGTAGGAAACTGTGTCATTAACTTTCTTGGATGTTTAATAACCATATTTTAATGTCTATACTAATCTGGCCAGAGAGACTTAAAAAGACAGTTTTTTGCCTCTTGCCCTTTTAGGTCAATAAAGTCCCAGGGGATAATGGGGCATCTCTTGAAATGTCCCGTAACTGCAGAGAATCCCTTGTCCTTTTGTTCAGGAAGGCTATGGAGACACCAATAGAGGAACTCAAAGCTGTATCCAGTCCACAAAGAGGAAGGTTAACACAGGAAACGTTTTCTTCAAAGCTTCCAAGCAAACCCAGAGCCTTTGTGACTTGTCCTCACATTGTCAGACTGATAAAAAGAAAAGCCAAAGGAGC